GGCAAATACTGAAATGTGTATCCTTACCAATAGTAGGAAGCAGAGCACATTGTGGCAGTAAAGTGCTCATAGCATTGACGAAGGTCTGTATATGCAGTTTTGCTCAGGTTTCAAGCAAAAGCCTTTTATGTCTTCAGCTTTAAAGACAGGGTCGGCATTGCTCTATAAAGCCTGAGTCTACTGAATACTTCCAGTCATTCACAGACATCTGCCTCAAACAATATATTTATCTCCAGCTGCAATTAAGTACTCTGCATGTGACAACACACCTACCTTGAAAGCATTGAAGAAAATGATCACTTATTCCCTTGGTATAACAATGGGAGGTGCTACTGTACAACACAGTACGGTAAAGGCTTTTCTATGCATATAAGTTGCTGTACATATACAGACTTACACTTAGGGCTCTAAAGGGGAAAAAAGATTAAGGTGCGATTACACTAAACTGTATATACCTATATGAAAAAGGAATTGTACTTACAGAATTACAGCATTTATTAGAGAATTATAGAAAAATTACTAAAAATTTTAATTATAAGAATTATAGCAAAAAATGTAAAAGAAAAAAAAAAAAAACAAACCCAAAAAACTAGTTGCATTTGCCAGCGGATCTACTTCCCAGTAGTGCATTAAGGACTAAAAAAAAAGCCCAGTTTCTAAAAGAAACAAGGAGAAAAAGTTTATGAAAAAGTTTCTAAAAGTTATATGGAAAAATGGGGCATCACTACCATGAAGACAGTTTTTCATGACCTTCATTCATTCTAAGGCAGGTCACTAAATAATAGATCAGAGAAAGGAACTGCCAGAGCTTTTTTTTAGTCAGTTATCACACTCAATATAGTCAAGCTGTAAAACATAAAGGAATAATACGCCAGAGAATCTAGGTTAGGCTACGGGTCATTGTGGGGTGAGGAAATTTGCTTGGAATTCACTAGTCCTATGTCAAACACATGGGAAAAGTGATTAAATTCCATTTATCAAATTATAATTAAGCTTATATTAATTTGCTGCAATGTGAAGTAGCAAAATGGGTTTGCAAACCTGAAGCAGTTAAAAAACTTCTTGATGAAAGCACATTGGGATGAGCACGTCAAACTTTGCAAGAACCTTTGTAGAGCTACATTTCCAAAGGTAAGTAGAGGTAGGAAACAAAGAAACTAGTGTAATTCCGGGGGGGGGGCGGGGGGGAGAGATAGAGATGGTCTAAAAAAATGAGACTGCTTTTTAAACGGAATTCATTGAAAAATACAGATCTCTCTGAAAAGAGGATAGCTACTGTCTGAGACTTTGTCAGTATGACAGTATCACTCACTCAGAGCAGCTGAGCAGAGGTAAAAGGTGAATAACAAGTGCTCTGTCTCCCCTTCTGCCTGACCACTTATTTATGGTGACTCTTGAAAACCATCACTTGGATGTTTCTGTGTTTGTCACATAGACTCGGCATTTTCAGAACCATTCAAACCACAGCATCCATAATATACAACACTTGAAGAAGCAAAAAACATCCAGACAAACAAACACCGCCTTTGAAAAACCTGGGATCTAGTAATCAGAATCATCTTTCTCTTGTTTCTCAAAATTTAGAGAACCATTTCCAGCTGGCAAAAGCAATTGTATTTAATTGATTTGTTCACCCATTCAAGGCCAGAGAGAACCATCAGATCATCTCCTCTGGCTCTCCTGAAACAGCTCTTTGCATTTCACCCAATTACATCTGTAATTAACCCTGTAACTGTACTGAGCTAAGCTGTATGTGTTAACATTTTTAGATCAGAGCTGATATCCATCAGAAAA